AATGCTAGAGGCTAGAAGTCCAATATCAGGGTATCAACATTGTCATGTTCTTGGTGATGGCCCTCTTCCTGGTTAGTTCCTCACATGGTCTTTTCTTGATGTGTTCACACAGAGAGAGAGATCCATCTCTTGTATCCTCCTCTTTTTGTAAGGACACTAATCCCATCATGTGGGCTTCATCCCCATGACCTCTTCTAAACCTAATCTCCTCCCAAAGGATTCACCTCTCAATACCATTGCATTGAGGATTAGGGCTTCAATATTTGAATTTTGACAAACTTTGAGTCCATAACATTGGGTGTAGAACCCTAAGCAAGCATTCAGTCCATAACACTGGGTGTAGAACCCTGGCTTAGATAATTCTCTTCCAATAAGCCTTTGTTAATCAGCTCTTCTGAGCTCCTCCCCACAGAAAGTATGCATTGCCTTTTCTGTATATTCCAATGCCAGAAATTTACCCATGGTAACACTTGTCTTGATTTGTTTTTCTCTTAGACAAGACCAGAAATCAGCAAGTGCTTTCTGTAAAGGGCCAGATAAGAAATATTTTAGGTTTTGTGGTCCATATGGTCTGTGTTGCACTTACTCAGTTCAGCCAGAAACAATATGTAAATTAATGGGCATGGCTGTGTTCCAGTATGACTTTTAGGGATGCTGAAATTCATTTATGGACATTGAAATTTGTTTCAAATAATTCTCATGTGTCACGAAATATGTTTCTTTTAAAATTTTTCAACCATTTAAAGATACAAGCCCCATTTTTAGCTTATAGACTGTACAAAAGGAGACCATAGGCCAGATGTGGCATAGACAATAGTTTGTCCACCTATGTACTCGATCACAAGTGTCTTGAGGGCAGGCACTATAAGTTTGTTTTCTATCCTCTACATAGAGCCCCAATGTCTGCCATATTGGTATAAAATAAATACGGGCTGAATAAATATTTGAGTCTCTAAGTGCTTTATACTCACATATACTTTCTCAATATTCTTCCAGAACTTGAGTTGAACAGCAGATGAATTCCCCAGTAGGAGACTTTAAGCCAAATCCAGATTTGTGGTCTCTTCGTCTAGCACAATTTTATAGCTCCTTCCTCTGAATCTTGGTGTCCCCTAAATGAAGGCCAGCTGTTTCCCATGTTGAAGGTGTTCCCAGTGTACTTGTACACTTAGAGATCTCTGAGTGATGGCAGTTTATGTGTGTACCACTGAGTGGAATGTGACCTTAACCCGAGAAAATGATATATGTTTCAGCAAAGAATTTTGGATATATACTTGAACAAAAAGGGAAATCCCTTCGCAGCATTATCTCTGCTTTATGCCCTTCAGACTTAAATGTTCACCAATAGTAATCATCATGAAAATCACAGGAAGTTTATTTGTGAAGTGCTTATTCCCCACAGAGATTAATACATCACCTAAGATCAAAAGTAAATGAAAACATTTTTTTTTTTTTTGAGTGGTCTCTTTAAGTTACAGAAGCAACAGACTTGTTTGTACTCCAGCAGGCTGTTTAAGAAGCAAGACGTTAATCACAACTCTAATATAACCATGTTTTTGATAATAGGGCAAGGTGGTTATTAGTCATGCTTGCCCACCTGTAAAATACTGATTTGACTAATGTGTACGTTGGCCAAGGCTAAATATAAAAAAGGTTTTGGCATCTTGCCCAAGGTCATGGACAAACTTGCAATTTCATCAAGCCACGTTCATTATCATGCAAAATATCTGAAAGGTAGATTTCACTTAGAGACATTTCAATAGCCCCTATAAAAAGGAACTAAAAAGAATGAAATTATGGAATTACTTATTTTTAGAATTCATTTTTCAACACATGGATAATGAACTCTGATAAATTCAGTTTCGATATTTTAATATAACATCAGAGACCACCTGGGCTTATATTCTTTTGTGAGTTTTTTTGCAGGTGAACTTCATGTTTATAAATTACATTAATCAACAAATAGGCCTAATGCTTATCAAAGCTAATTTCTAGTGGGAAGGGAGATTATAGGAGAGGAGACAGGGACTTTTCTCTAAAGGAATATACAAATTTATATAAGGAAACATGATACAGACCTATGAGAGATAAATAACATTGGTAACATGTGCTAAGCACCAGTGAAGGATGCAGATAGGGTGCTCACACAGTAGTGATATTCTTTGGGGGTTGGGGGGTTGGGGGTGGGTAAACTCACAACTAATGGACCCGGTGAGCGTTGTAGAGGGAAAAGGGCATGCCTCAAATCATGGTTTTGGTGTGGCAAAGTCATAACATGTAACCAAAACGTTTGTACCCCCATAATATCCTGAAATAATAACAAAAAAAAATGAAAGAAAAAGAAAAAGCCATAGCAATTCATAGGACAGAGAAGTTGTTCAGGGGGAACCAGGGACAATGCCTGGGCTTGACTTAAAAAGCTCAGACTTAAAATGCTGCAGATAGCTTGGTCACCATACAGACACGCGCACGCATACACACATACACACGCACATACACGCACAGAACTGTCAAGCCTTTGTGCTCTCATCCCCATGCTGCCATGTTCACTATGACTCTCCTTGACTCCTGGCTGTGGCCTCTGCTTGGTGTTCTTTGCTCCTTGTTTGAAACTGCTCACACAACGTTTTACCACATTTCCTCACACAGAGCTTTCAGCACGTTACTACTCTGCTCTACAGTTTTCACATAAATTGGTATTCAGCAGGACCATTGTTGGTCTACATTCTGTTCACTGAGGTATCTCCTAATCCAATTTATTCCTCTCCTAAATAGATCTTTCTCAGCTGTCACAGTGGTCATATCTCTTGGTTTAAGAGCCCGTAATGGAAATTTTACATAGTGCTGCTTGGAGTATGAATTTGTTAAGTCTCTGCAGGGCAAAGTCTTAGAAATGTATGTATGCTTTCATTCATGGAGACATTCCACTTCTAATCATTCCTTTAAGGTGCATTTAAATGTATATATATATATTATACATGATAATTAAAAATATTTTTATTGCCATGAGTTTTTAACATAACAAAATTGGTCATGCATTCTAATTTGTCCTTTAGTGGGAGGTACCTAGGAACCATTAAGAACGATGATGAATATGGAAATATTTATTTTATTCTATTTTATTTTGCATAAACATTTAAAAATGTATAGGTGTACCTATGATGTATCCTTTTAAACTTTGATGCTTTGCTTTGTTTCGTCTTTTTAAGATCTCTAATAGCTTTCTATTAATCCTGACTTCTGCATCAACTAACTCCCAAACTATGCAGCAACCCTACAGAAACCTCAGCCATTTCAGTCTGTTTCCCTGATTGGACTCCCGGGCTCACTGCCAGCTTTGCTCTAGGTTACGTACGTCCCTCACCCAGTGATCGTTTGTCCACCTCTTTTCTAGCTCAACTCCTACCATTTTTAAGTTCCCACTTGCAGTTCCATCTGTTAGGAATCTTTTCCTGATTTTCTCAGTTCTTCATGGCTATATCATCCAGCCTTACAGTTCTTTCTCAAGTAAACTAATGTTCCGAGAAAGAGCCTGGAGTCAGCAGAGGAACTAGAATATGGTTGGAGAGTACCAGCCATAGCTTTGTTTTGAAGTGTCATTTTTAAAGTATATTTAGAATGGAGTTAGAATGGAGTTCCTGTACACACAAGTTCTTGCTACTTTGTTCTTTTCCTAGTTAACTAAGCATGCTTTCTTCCCCATCCACCACAATATAGAGCTGGCCAACAGAAAAGTCATATTCCAGTTTCTTAGCTTCAGTTTTGTAAGGAAAAATTAGGTAAAATTCAAAGGTAGGGTTTACTTTGGAGTACAATATTCCCTTTATCATCTTTCTCTCTGGTCCTTTGTGTGTTACTTCTGCCTCCCACCGCCCCCACCAAGTGCATACATGGCCTAATTACTTTGTTAACATTCTCCCCGCTCCCTCACTCCCAAGTCATGATCCATTGCATTCCCTGGGCTCAGTCTGAGAACTGTGAAGAAGAGAGAATCGCATTCTTCTGTCTTTTTATATTTAGCTCAATTAACTATGATATATCCTGGCCTCATTCAATGGTCTTGCTCAAACCTCCAAACACTCTTTCTCTACCCATACCCCATAGCCATGGTATATGAATTGGCTTTTGTTAGCTTTTGTGCTAACTTAAAATATTTTCTATTATAAAAATTTGAAAACATATATAAAAGTAGAATAATAAAACAAACCTCTCACATACCCATCACACCAATACAATTACAAAAATTTTTAGTGTGTTCATCTCTTAAAATCTGAGTTTATCTTGATATATTGTTCTGTAACATCTTTTTCTAAAACGTGTCTATTAGTTATGTGCTTAATAGATTAAATGGTTATGTTCTGTGGTATTCACCTTTAACATTTAATTATGCCTTGCCAAAGACAGCGATGCATAAGAGTAGAAATTAAAATTCAGCAAACATATCTATAAAACTTCCATGTGGCAACTTTGAACCCAGGTTACAATTTGTAAAACAAGGTTTGTTTAGAAGTCATTGGGTAATTATTATTTCTATTACCGAAATGCCCTCCAAACCTGAAAATTGAATTTTTACCTCTACTTTTTACAATTAAAATATGGCCATTTGAGTCATTAACACCATTCTGGGTAATTATCAGGGTGTGTTATTACTTGTGAACCTCTTTTTCTCTTCATGGTATTTCCTTCATGTGTAATCTTGAATTACTAATACTTTTGACATGTGCTTCGACACTACTGTCCCCTAAGGGACATAAGAGCAACAGGAACCTTCCTAGTAGACAATAATACTAGTATGGAAAATTATAAACTACATTTTGCCTGTAAGCATACATGATTTTTTAATAAATAGGACAGCATTCTGATATTAGCTTTAAATGTGTGTAAAAGGTTAATCATTTTCATACCACTCATGAATAACTCATCTCTTTTGCAGATGTTGTTTACAGTTGAAATTCTCTAATTAATTTTCCCCTGCTTGTGTTCTTTTTCTTTTTCTCCAGCTCTTGTAAATGTGAAACTCTGGGCCATTGATCGACAATGTTTTCAGACAATAATGATGAGGACAGGACTCATCAAGCATACCGAATATATGGAATTTTTAAAAAGGTAGCATGCTTTCTTTTCTCCTTTTGAGAGCGTTTATTTATGTTCTTTTCAGTTCTATTATCTGAAATGCAGTACAGTGATGATTTTTTTGCTTTTATCTTAGTCTTAATAGCCTACAAATTTGTAGAAGTGCAAGACTTTGGGCAGGCTTCTTTGTATTTCTGGTGCCAATTTTCATGATGTGTGGTGAAGTCAGAACTTCAGAATTTCATCACGTGTTTTTAGCCATCCAACGCTCTCTTATAGAGGAGCATAGCTCAGAGAAACAAATGAGCATTTGCCTGAACAAAAAAGGATGTTAAGTTTATCTCTAACTGTTTATTGTTTAGTATATTTATGGCACCTCTTCTAAACAGACCCACACTGGAAGACTGAGTCATCTCTTTTCTGAGTTTCCATATGAAAGGTCAGATGACTAAGAAGGAAAAGTTCCAAGAAAAAGCTTATTATCCTGTAATCCTGAGTTTAATTTCCCAAATTAAATTCATTTTATGTTTCAGTTCTGAAATATCAATAGCTTTTTCCCTTAACAGTATATATTATCATAATAACTCAATATGGGATCGAAATTGGAATGAAAAGCCAGCTTTTCATTTCTTAGGAATAGACTGATATTCACTGAAATGAATTTCTTTTTCTGTAAGCTTATTTTATTATAAAGGAAATATTTTATTATTGAAAAGAATATTGACAATTCTGATGACTTTTTAAAAAGTAGTTATTTTGTATCTTTTTATAAAAAGCAGAACCATCATTAAATATTGATGTACAAATCATGTGAGCTAAAGGGAGTGTATCACTAAATAGGATTTCATTTTTGAGAGCCTAGAATATTATACATTTTTTGGCTTTATATTTTTATTTTTGGTGAATAAGTGGTTAAAATGGAGCTAAAAAGTCAAATTTATGTTTTGTTTTAGTGGCATTTAACATATATCTACCAAATTTATTTAAGATGCAATTTTAATATTCTTTACTTGGATATTTATTGTTATTTTGTTTCTACTTTATTTTTTATTCATTTTTCATTTCTACATAAAATCTTTTTATATTCCTGCTAATGGGACAATTTGATTCTAATTTGATGTTAAGTAATAACATATTAAAATGTTACTCCACCAGCAGAGTGTTGGTATTTTTTTCTCAATGTCATTGAATGAAACATTTAGAAGAGGGGAAAATATAAATTTCTATTTGAACCTTAGTATAGTTTGTAAAGAAATTAAATTATTCAAGTGCCATATATATGTGGGGGCATATATGTATATGTGTGTATATAGGTGTGTATGTGTGTGTGCGCACATGTGTATCGTGAGAGACAGAGAGAGAGAGAGAGAGAGAGAGTGAGTATTAATTTTAAGCCTTTCCTTGAAGTGTAAGAGGTATTGATTTCTTCTGATGCAGCTCTGATAAAGATCCCACATTGTAATCCATGAAATGCACACCTATGGAATAGAACCTTTTATTTGTGTCACATATCTAAGTATTGGACACTTACGATGTTGATTTTAGCTTCCATAAGTTTGTTTTTGCAAGGGAATGGACCGAGTGGGAATGCTATCTCAAATAACTCTAATAAGAACTCTTTTTAGGAAACGGAGATGTCTCACTCTGTGTGGGTACATGTGCGTGTTTTAATAAACTCTGAATGTACTTATTTTTTCGGCATTATTCTCAGAGTTGCCTTAGTTTGCATTCTTTATTCTAACAATTCAAACCTTAAACAATGAAATTAGCTCTCCAGAGTGAGTGAACATTTTTGGTTGGTCAGCTTAGAGCAGGTAGAGTTTAACTGGCTGCATTGAGAAGAGATGGGTGCTGACTTTGATGTCACTTTCCACCTGGCCACCCCATAAAATGTCCAGCTCACATTGTTTGCAAATGAATGACTAAGCTGGGAGTCCAGAGAAGTGACAGGGTGACCATCATTGCCTGAGGCCAGCTTTAATCTTCCTTAATTATAACTGTGACCAACTGATTCTCTCTCTACAACCCTTCAATGGTTCACAGTTCCAGTTGAATTATTTACAGCTTCATTAGTAGGACATTCAAAGGCCTCCCAGAGCCAAAGCCAGCCAGCTTTGTCAGCCTGGATTTTTCTCATCCCATGCAAACCAAACAACTCCATGTGCCCATGCACTGCCTGTGCTTCCCCACACCACACTGCCTCTTTGCCTTTTATCTCTATCAACAATGTTCAAATCCTTCTCTTCTTTTTAAATCCAACTAAAAGCTGGCTCTCCCACAGATACTGACTTCATTCCATCCAGAATTAACCTCTTCCTCCTCTGGAGCTTCATCTCTGTCATATGTTTTAGTGTCTACTTTGTTTCATTATAATTTGACCACTGCAAAGTTATTTCTACTCCTAGATTATAGACTTCTCAGGACTAGGGTTCTTTCTTAAGCATCATGGTTTAAATTTGGCACCAAACTTACTGCTTTGTAGATAGGCAGTTTATAGGACAGCAAGTATAGGACCAGGACATAATTTTCAGGGACCATCACAAAATGGAAATACAGGGCCTCTTTATCAAAAACTATTAAAAATTTCAAGATGTTGAAGCACAGTATTAAAACAAGCACAGGGAACTTCTAAGTGTCAACTTTATGGTTCTGCACAAGTCATACACCCAGGAAGCTGTGTAGGGGCAGAGAGAGGGTGATCCCTTTTCCTCCCTATCATAAGGGTCATGGCCAATATCCCTATAACAAAAGACAGGTTAACAAGAGAAAATCATAACAGATGTATTAATATTTAATCAAAGTTTTACATGACACAGGAGCCTTGAGAATGAAGACCTAAATATACAGGGGAAAACTATGCATTTTTATGTTTAGGTTTAATGCCAAATGGATAGCCATAGAACTGTGATTGGACAAAAAGGGAAAGATCTAATGCTAATAGATGGAGTGGGGAAACCCAGGCCTGTCTGTTCAGATTCTTGGCCTCTCTGTTGTAGCATTTTTTCTTCCCCAGTATGGGTAAGACCCCTCTGGACTAAGGGTTTTTATTTCTTTACAGTCAGCTGTTACACAGAAAGGTGGGGGAAAAGTTATAATAATATTTTTAGGCTTGTGGCTGGCTTTGGAGAAAAGAGGTTCTGGTTTCTATGACCTACCTTGCGGAAGAGGCATTCTAGTTTCTCTGTCTTACTTCAGGGGAGAATGAGAGGCCAGAGATAGGAGGGCAGGAAAAGGTCAAAGGAGCTACTTCTGAGGCCTTCACTTTGGTGTTATCATTTTCTGAGCCCCAACAGCTGCAAGGGTATATATTTTTCTTCACATTTATAGGTTAACTATACATGGTACCATTTATTTTACAAGGCTACTAAGAGATGGCATAATATCCCCAAGGAAAATAATGATAGATATTGTCAAAAACTCAGAAGACCAAAAATAATTAATTTTTTTATTATAACCAGAGTCATTTTTATCTCCCTGTTTATTGGTGATTTTTAAAAATTTTGCTTATTGCTGTTTTACATCATGTACAACTTTAAAGTTTTATACAGTCAAGTCAGTCCACTTTTTCCTTATGATTTCAGGTGCAGAAAGGCTTACCTGCTTTAACATTATAAAATGTAGACTTAATACTTTAAGTTCTCTATAGCAAACTGTGAAGTGGGTGGGGGATTTTTTCTTTATGTGTCTGTTAAATAAAACACTCATCTGGGTTTTTCTACTGCAGATTTCATATACTTTATATTTTGTGAAGGTGTTAAAGGAGTAAAGCAATTGTGACACAATCAGAAAAATTGAAACTCTAGCAAATGTTAACACAAATCATCAGAATTATTCTCAGTAGGGGTCTCTATTGTACATCCCAATGCTTTCCTAATTGAGGAATTTCAAGGACAGCGACAGGCTAAAAGAGGAGTGACCTTCTATTACTACTCATCCTCCCGTGCCACTCTTCCTCCTCATTTTCCTAAATACACACATAAGTTTGGAGGGCGAGAAAAGGGGACACACCAGGCATGTAAATGCACTGCTAATTAAGGCAAGGAATTTTTTTTTTTTGTGTATTGTCAAAATTGGGTTTTATTTTTATTTCAGGGTGTTTACCCATTTTGTAACTACCAGTCAGTCATGTGGTTTGGCCCCCTCTTTGCTATTAGACGCCACATCAAACTGTGATTCTGGCTCTTTAATCCTATTTAGTCATCTCTCTTTTGTGCCTGTATTTCACATTCCCTGATGTAAACACAGATGTTCCTTTGCAAGCATAGCAAAAAAAATATTCAAGGGACAGTGCTACTAAGCATGGAATGATTGCTATAGGTCCAACCACGATTTTACCATTTGCCAGCATTTTCCATCATCTTTGGCTACTGAAAAACGTTGTTGTTTTTAAGATGGATTCTGGAAAATGAGCCAAATAACTGCCAGAGTTAATTTGTGTTGCTTTTCTCTGAGCACATTCTCTGTTGCTGCTGTTGGCATGGGCAGCTATACTCAGAGGAGCATTAGTATGTAGCTATGTACCTGCCAGGATGTGCTTATAGAAAGTGGGTTTTCTATTGTCCCCAAACTATGATGATGATGATGACAATGATAATGGTGGTTCCCAATTTATATTACTTGCTTTACTGATACATAAGAGACACAGCAGGAACCTTTTAGGACTTACGCTACTCGATGTATCCTGTTGACCCTCAGAAAAACTTTTCTTTATCCACCAGAGAATCTTTTGGTAAGGCAGATGTGCTCATGTCACCTCCCCCTGCATAAAACCTTTCCATAACTTCCTATCACTCCTAGGAGAAAGCCTACCTGAGTCTTTATCATTATCTTCAAAGCCCTGCCTGCCCTGGCTACTGCCAACTTCATCTCCCTCTCCATCTTCTCCATCCTCATTGTCTCTTGCCCCACGTGATAGTTTTCCATCTCCGCATGTGCTCCATGGTGCCTCCCAGTGGAGATGATCCCAAGAGACTCCTCCCCCTTTGCATGGATGTATTTTCCAGAGTGATCTAGGGTGTGACATATCAAATATG